CCCATTTAAGTTTCTCTGGCTTAGCTCGCGTTTACCTTTTATAACGAGTTAAAGTTTTACATACAAAATTTATTTGTAACGGCCATATCTTGTGAACCGATTATAATTTCACTATCATGTCTTCAGTGATTATGTAGCAATGAACCCAAGGAACTAAATTGACAAATGACTCTTGCGCACTTAGCACCTAGTGCACCTAGCGCGTGAAAAAACAAATTTGCATAATTTTTCGATTTTTAACGCGCTAGGTGTACGTCTTCGCAAGAGTCATTTGTCAATTTAGTTCCTTGGGTTCATAGCTACATAATCACTGAAGACATGATAGTGAAATTTTAATCGGTTCAAAAGATATGGCCGTTACAAATAAATTTTGTATGTAAAACTTTAACTCGCTATAAAAGGTAAACGCGAGCTAAGCCAGAGAAACCCAAATGGGTTTTAGCTTATTTCGATGAGTTCTTTCCGCCCATGAAATCAGAATTGCGGTTACATTTTATAACCCTAAAAATGTTGCACAGTGTAATACTTGTAATACTGAACTAGTCCTTCTTTAATGTATAAAAGTTGATCATATTTTAGATAATTTAAAAGTTAAAAACATTTTATAAATAGCAAACAAAAAAATTCTTTTTTTGATACCAATTAAACTTTTATTAAAAATGTAAGAAAAATGCCTCATTTTCTTTTTTTATTTTTTAATCATTACCTAATACCATTTATCAATCATGAGTATTTTTGCAAACACAATACTAAATCCTCAACCGCTGCTGTGTGCAGCAACGCACAGGTTGCCAAACTGAAAATATACGTTTTCCAATTCACCTCTTTTTCCCCCGAAGAGCTCCGCGCGAAATGAAAATAATTTGGCGGTCGATTTCTACGCATGTAGAAGTTTAAATTTATGTTTTATTGCTGACGTTATTTGTTTACACGCACATTTAGCGTTTAGCGATCGGTGTTTCAGTGCTCGGTGTTTAATGTAACCAATGGATCTGATCTGCTGACGCAGTAGCATCTTCCATCTCCCATCCCCGAGCATATCCATCTCAATCAGGCGATTGTTTAGCAAATTAACCAACCGCCAGAGGAAGCCCAAACTGACAAATCATTTCTGCCTGTCAATTGCAATCTATCGGCTCTAAATGTTCGATTTCTTAATTATTGCAGGCCTCTCACTTTGCGAAAAAAAAAAGAAGGAGCAAAAGAAAAAGAAAACAATCACAAATTGCAGCAGTCAAATACTTCGTTTACTTTTAATTGAGCCTGCGTTCGTGGGTTTCTTTGTGTTATGTTGGCCCACGCTTTATGCTCTAATTCAGATGGTTAGAAATCGATTGCAACAAAAGAAAAAACACAAACAAACAGCTACCGAGAGTTAACCAACAGCGAGTCAAAAAATCCAAGCTTAACCCTTTCAGTGGCTTCTGTTTACACTTCCAAGTTTCTTAAAACCCATACAAGGCTGAACAGTGAATCAGCGAAAATCTGAATAAATTATATACAGTCGCAATTCTATAAGTTTACTTTTGTGAGTTTTCTATAGATCAATGGAATGATTACAGCAGTTTAAAGACAAATGAGTCACGCAATTAATTTCTTTCTATTTCCGTAATTAAAATTGTTTTAAAGATTTAAAAATTTTTACAAAATTTTATAAATTTAAAAATTAGATTCCCCAACTCTTATATTGATTTTTTGATTATTTCGCATTACCATAGGTCTTAATCACCTATTTAAAATAATGAAAATCTGGTATAAGAATATGGTACCAACATATTTTAAGCACCATATGCTGGTTCACTATTTGCAAGATATACTGTTTATTATAAAACCAAACATTTGCTGCTTGTTTTTTCTGCTGCCGCACAAATTATGCAAATTGCCTGGCACATCTAAGGGTTAAGCGAACGCTTAACGCTCAAGTGAAAATTGGTGAAAATCCACACAAATGTGTCAACAAGTGCCGAGAAACAACAAGAACGACAACGAAAACAACAACGAAAGCGATTTAACAACAACAAGTGCGACGGCAACGAAAACAACAAGAGGCAGGCTTTCCAGTGAATTAACTCCCCCTGAAGATTCTTGGGGCTGCAACCGAATCTACATCTACATCTGTATACATCTAAAGATCCGGTTCAGCAAGTTTACCGCAAGCTAGTTACACTACAACAAAAAGTAAATGTGTGTGCCGCACACCTGCGGATAAAATAATAGCAGTTACAATACCCTTGCAGTTAGAACAAATTCCTACTGAATATATCCACATATTTTGCATGATTACTCTATTGGAAACTAAGTCATTTTTACGGTGCACACTGGGCCAGAAAGTTAATTTTTTGGCCAAAAATCTGTAATTTCTTTCCTAGGACAGTTAGAAGGATGCAGTTTTTTGCGTTTTTTTCTTAAAAGATTGAACTTTCCAACGAACTAAAAGTAAAATTTCTTGGAATTTTATATGATATAGATAATCCAGACCAAAGTCGGAAAATTTTACGTACTTTTCGGTTTTTTCTTTTTAAAAAAATAACTAGAAGACGCACTTTTTTCATTTTCGAAAACAATAAAGTTTGAGATAAAACAAACTAAAAAAAATTGACATCACTAAAAAATATTATGCCATTTAAGATTTATGAACCGTTAAAAAGTGCAACTTTCGGAGGCTTCCACATCAACGTTTATCAAACAATCGATTTAAAAAAAATTTCTATTTTTTTGTTCTTGTTACCTTTTAAGTTTTATATAATCAAATTATATAAAAAAAATTGTTTAAAAATATTGTTTTTTGATTTGTTTAATGTTAATTTGACATATTCTGAAGTCATCACAAAAGTATGCTACATTTTTATTTGCATAGTCATGATTAAATAGATAGATATAGGTTTGGAAAATACCATAATCGATTAGTGTACGTAAAAAGTAGATTTTAGATGTTCGTCACACTAAAATCAAATTTTTGAGCGCAAAATGTTCACCAAAACCTGAAGAAATAAAGTATGGCATACTCTTGGGCTCTCTTAGCTAAGCTCTTCAAAATAGCTCGACTTCGAGTTAAGCCTTCAATTAAAACTTAAATTACCGAAAACTAAGGCAAAACCGCATCGAGTCGGTGGGCTACGCTTTTAGTAAATTGATCAACGAATTTTTTTTTGAAGGAATGAACTAATTTGGGGATGGCACTCGAAGGCACTCGAAAAGCAAAGTACTCATTTGCTGAAAAAAAGCGTAAAAATTAACAATTACATTTATTTTAGCAAACAAGTAAGACATACGAGCTATATTATATTTTTTACTTGTTGAAAATAATCCCTTCTGCAAGTTTCGGAAAGAAGTCGAACAGCAACATCAGCATCTTTGACTTCTAAATTTTTTTTCATTTCCATCAATATTTTATGAATTTTTCACTTTGAAAATATGGTAAAAGAAAACTACTTGCCCGAATTCTTTGAAACTTTGGCATAAATTAGTTTAATGTATTATAAAAAGGATCCCAAACTCAATTTGGTCATTTTCTTAAAAAAGAAAAACGTATTTTTGGCCAAAAATCTGATCGGCTGGCCCAGTGTGCGGTGATATCTAAAATATTTATTTTTTTACCTCCTTAAATTATTTACCGTGTTGCTAACCTATACATTAAAAGATAATACCCTATGCAAGTTTGTAACGTATAAATTCTTGTAGTCTCGAACACATTCTGAATACTAATGCTGCGGGCAATACCATCCCGAATAAGGAGTCATAGCAATTACTTGTCTACCATTAATTTATGATATTGTCGAACACTTTCTGTTTGGTGAAAATATAATAAATGCCTTTAAAGAATTTATGGCAATGGTTTCCACTGAACCACTAATAAAATGTCTAAATTTACTCAATTTGCAAATGTTGCCAAATTTATTGTGACTTTCAGTAGATTTACTTTCAGCAAAGCAATGAAAAATAAACCTATTTAATTAATTTTGTTTATATTAACTGTTATTCAATCCACTGATGTGGATGAATAATATTATTAAATTACTTTAAATATGAAACCATAATATTTAAAAAGTAAATAAAATTAATTATAGAATTTAAAATATGTACATTTCTTTTAGATGAATGCGTGTTTTTTATTCTAATATCTTTTTGTTTTACGCAAATGGAACTTCCAATTTTACTGATTGCATGCCTAAATTCTTAATGATATAGTTGTTATTTTTTTGAATTCTTTATAAACTCGATTATTTTTTAAATGAATGTTCTGAATGAATCGCCTATATAGATGCTTGTTTTTAATTTAAGACCACTTTAATTAATAATTCCAAAGTAACTGAATCATCTCACAATAATTTTTAAATTATCAGAGTTCGTTAAATTTTCATGAATCAAATCTTCAAGAAAAACTTAAATATTTTTGACTTATAAACGAATAAATGCTGAAGCATAAATTTAAGAGTCCTTTTCATACATCGGTAAGAAATGTAATTTAATCTAATTTAGCTGAGTAATAATTTATTTAACTCTTCCAGATAATAGTTCGATTCTTATAAAATATTTATTTGTCGGTTTCGATATGTCATAATTATTATTTACCGCTTTCCACTTTCTGAATTTTTTCTTGAATTTCTGAAATATTTTTCTAACTTTTTGAAGAAAATAATTAATGCAGTCTCCTCGAAGCTCGAATATATATAAAAGATACCACTTTTTTTAAGAGCTCTCAAAGCTTAAAAAGAAACACCCCTTCTTATCAATTCTGTTTGAAAAATGCCTGAATCATCGCTTAGTGGTTTCCAGATCTGCTGATTTCTTCTGGAATTCTTTCAAAGGAAATAATCAAATTTTTTCTGCATATATATTGATTAAGAAAATATGTTAAAGCCAAAAGAAAACCCCACCTTTTTTGTTATTATTAATGGACGTAATTTGTCAATTTATATTAGCTGCTTTTCTGATTTATTTTTTCGATGCTATTTTCGCGACCTTTGTCGTTTGGGCTGCCCCACCTTCTTGGCACTCACCTGTGCAGCCTCTCCGTTTGCTCGTATTCGTTTTGCAGATCGTTGATGGCGAATAGCTCCATTTCGCCGCTGCGCCCGAATATTCCATTGGGTATCTTGCGCAGGAACTTCTTCAAAACACTGGCGATGGTGAATACCGAATAGTTGTCCACGTTGACCAAACGGCCCGCTTGCAGGAAGTGGATGAGCTTCTTCATGGCGCCCTGGTGTCCTGGGGCACGGAATACATCCCGGCGATTGGGCGACTCCTTGTTCAGCTTGAGGATCAGGACAAGCAGTGGCCCGGGAATGTTGTTGTTGTGCTTGCAGACCTCCTCCAGGGGCACCCCGAATTTGACCTTTTCCAGGCGATACGGATAGGCGGGGGCTGTGGCGGGGTGGCCGCAGGAGGTCACCACGTTGCCCAAATCCGCGGCACGCCTATGGACGCGTTCTGCCCAGCTGGACATGGTTTTTCACGCGATTTTCCTGCCTGCCTGCCTGTGTGTATGCGTATGTATGTATGTGTGTGCGTATGCGAGTTTTTCACGAGCGGGGGAAAATGTGCTCGGCAGATTTTATGGTTTTATGCTGGCCACAAACATGTTCACTTAACTGGTTCGTTCGCTTGCCCACTACTATACAGGAATTCACAAATATATTCGTATCGCTTTTACTCCCTAATTTTCAGTCCCAGCTTGATTTTAGATTTTAGCTGCGAAAACACTGGCTGCGTTGCCTACTTTGATTAAAAAATCGCTGTATGCATTTTTTATTTCTTCTTCTTTCGCGTCTCTCTTTTCAACTGCGTTTCTTCGTTTCTTTTTCGCTTTTCTTCTTTTTGGCCAACGCCTCGGAGCGTTGCTTTGCCTTTTGGCTTCGCTGCTTGTTGAATTAAACGCTCGGTGATTGCAATTCGATTGGTTTTATTGAAAACGCGGCGTTTGGCGTTCACTCTCGGTTGGTTTGCACTATTTGGCTGTGTTACTCGGGGGAGTTTAATTATTTTGTGCGTTTCGACGCCCGACTTTTTTCGCTGTTAGAGGTGGATAAGCGTCGATGAAACATCGGTGGAAACATCGATGGAAACAGCGGTGGAGTTATCGATGTATCGAGTTTTAAAACTTATCATCGATAACCAAAAAATTTTTGTTGTGATCGTTTACAAACACGCCATCTACAACTACACATCTTTCCGCTGTAAAAAATGTTTAAAATTTTAAAATGAATTGCATTTTGGGTAATTTTTAATTTTTGTTACTTCGTTGCAAGTGGAAAATTATTCGTTAACATTTTTTTATGTCTGGGGCAAATGTATCTTACCGAAAACATCATTTTTTTAACTTGTTGTGAAATTTATATAATAACTAAGGTGCTGTCCATATATTACGTAATCATCTAGGGGGGGGGGTGTCCACCAAATGATTACTTTAGGTCTACTAATGTTTAAAAAGTGCATTTAAAATTTTTTTAAGTCCATGGTCCTCAGACTTTTAAATGGGATCATGTGTGGATTCTGTGACTTGTTTAAATATTTGGACTTAACTTAATATATTTAGACTTATCGATCAATTAAAAAAACAACCAAAGAAAACAGATTTGAAAACCCCATTTTTCAGCATGCGCATGCACGATTTAGAAGAATAACAATTTACAATTTTCCGCTGTAAAAAATGTTTAAAATTTTAAAATGAATTGAATTTTGGGTAATATTTAATTTTTGTTACTTCGTTGCAAGTGAAAAATCATTCGTTAATATTTTTTTATGTCTGCATTACAATTTATGCATTTACAATTTTTTTTGTCCATGGTCCTCAGAATTTTAAATGGAATCATATGTGGATTCTGTGATTTGTTTAAATATTTGGACTTGTAACTAAAGATTAAAAAGATTTCCGTGGCAGCCTTAATATTTTAGGATTTATCGACCAATTAAAAAAATAACCAAAGAAAACAGATTTGAAAACCCCATTTTTCAACATGTGCATGCACGATTCAGAAGGTGGTTGTGCAAAACCACACAGAATCAGGGCTGCAGCAGGCCAAAATAAAAATTAAATAACAGTTTCAAATTTATTACGCCGCCATTCCTCATTTTTGGTTTTATAAAATTTGTATTTTTAAATATATTTGATTTGATTTTAAAAACTATTTTTAGGCTAACATGCTGACGAAAGAGGGGCCCCTAATATTTAAAATATAAGGTTTTAAATTTAAATCCAACGCACTTTTGGAGTTGCATTTTGGAAAAATTAATAATATGCTAATATGGCCACAAATGTTTTGTAATTTTATTTTATTTACATACATACATAAAGAAAAATATTTATAGATAGATTTTTATGTTAAAAACATTTCGAATTAAACTTCCTTAAAAACTGTGCCTTGTGGCGCCACATTCTTCGCTTGTCCGCTCTGTGAGAATATGCGCGTCATCTTCTCAACAGGTGACTTGTGTTTGTGAAGAATTAGATGTATTCGAAAGATATATTCGTCTATATGCCAGGCGTGGCAGACATAGTCAAAACTATCGATGAAAAGTAGGAATAAGTATACGTTGTTTTATGTGCTAAATTGTTGTTTTCCTTGCCCGTGCGACTGCGATTTTCCCATTTGAAAAATGCGCTCACCAAATGTATCGTTTCATCGCCAAACGATAAATTACAACATTTTCAAGCGCCATCTACATCAGGGCTGGGTAAAAAACTGAAGAGCCTTTTTATCGATTTTTGTGCATCGATGTTTTCGTCGATGTTTCTCCACCTCTACTGGTTTTTGTTTTGTAAAGTGAAATTGTTGCAAGTCAAACAACAATAACATAAAGCGTTAAAACGCATAAAAATCGTCAAAAACTCTTGGCTAAACAAGTACGTATAATCCAGTAGTCGGTATCGCGGTATTAGAATCCATTTTCCACTCACAATTCCGTTGGCCATCGGTAATTAATTTTGTGCTGTCTGCTGTGAAAGTAACAACAACAAAATCAAGAGTAACGTCAAGAGCAAAAATAGTCTTTCCATTTTGAAAACGACAAATATAGAAGTATTTTTTGTATGCCGCACAACTTGGCCAGAAATTGGACGAAATTTGTCAGTTTTCCCCAGTATCCAAAGCAGTCGAACAGTCATCGCTTTTGTGACGTGCTCACCTTGAATTCATCAGCAGGCAGCAAGATATTGACCCTGCACATAGCGACACTCGCGGCCACGGAAATAGTAGCCCTACCCATGCCCACAAAATAACCCCAAAAATATACTGACATGTTTCCACATTCGGAAAACTTTTACACCCACAGAGCACGGCGACAACTGCAAGTGGGTGAACAAATGACCACCGCCGCCTCCACATCGCAGCATGCGACATCGTCCTCCACAATGATGGCGGGCTCGGGATCGGGATCCCTGGCTACCTCCGGATCCGCCCCCACGACCACGCCCAGCAGCTCGGCGGTCCGGGCTTTGGCCATGGAGTACAAGTCGCTGCAGGAGGAGCCGGTGGAGGGCTTCCGCGTCAAGCTGATCAACGACGACAATCTGTTCGAATGGGAGGTGGCCATCTTCGGGCCACCGGACACCCTCTATCAGGGCGGCTACTTCAAGGCGCACATGAAGTTCCCGCACGACTACCCGTACTCACCGCCATCCATACGCTTCCTGACCAAGGTCTGGCATCCGAATGTCTACGAGAACGGGGATCTGTGCATATCCATACTGCATCCGCCGGTGGACGATCCGCAGAGCGGGGAGCTGCCCTGCGAGCGCTGGAATCCCACGCAGAACGTCCGCACCATCCTGCTGTCGGTCATCTCGCTGCTCAACGAGCCCAACACATTCTCGCCGGCCAATGTGGACGCCTCGGTCATGTACCGCAGGTGGCGGGACTCACAGGTTCGACTGGCTCTTCTGGTCAGAGTAAATGTCTAGTATACGGACTTTCAACTGGTGTTGGTTGCTCATTTGGGTGAACAACTCACTCAGTTTGCTCACTTGTTCACTTGCTCATTTGTTCTGGCCTTAACTTTTTCACTGTCTCTGAGAAAACAGCTCATTGTCTGTAAAACCGTATGCAAAATGCATCCTAAAAGTACAAAAAAATACTTTTTGTGCCAAAAACAGCAAGAGAGCAAAAGTAAACAAATGAACTAGTGTTGGGTAAAACACTGCTCATTTGGGTGAACAACTCACTCAGTTTGCTCACTTGCTCACTTGTTCTGACCTTAACTTTTTCACTGCCTCTGAGAAAAAAGCTCATTGTCTGTAAAACCGTGTGTAAAATGCATCCTAAAAGTACAAAAAAATACATTTTGTGGCAAAAACAGCAAGAGAGCAACTGAACAAGTGAACAAAAAAGAGAAAGTAAGAGAGCAAAACTGAACAAGTGAACAAAAAGGAGCAAGTGAGCAAAAATGACCAAGTGAACAATAAAGAACAAGTTCACTCAGTTTAGTGAGCAACTCTTTTTTGTTCATTCACTCATGAGCAACCCAACACTACGTGCAACCACAGAAGCGATACCTAACTTTTGTTTCTAGAAAAATAATGGTTTTTTTTCCACATTTCTCAAAATCCTTAAAAAATTACAATGAAAACGCCACGCTTGAAGTCCGTATACTAGACATTTACCCCGCTCATTTGCTCTTTAATAAGGACATACTATTTCCAGGGTCAGGACAATGAGTATCCCAACATCATACGCAAACAGGCCCTGGCCGCCAATGCCGAGGCCAAGCGGGAGGGCATCGTGGTGCCGATGACACTGGAGGACTATTGCCTGAAGCCCACGCGCAAGCCCACAACGGAATCTGGCCTGGATGCCAATTTCTACGATGATGACTTCGATCTGGAGACGGAGGACGACCTGCCGTCCGATGATGACTTCGATGAGGACGACGACGATGATGATGAGGAGGACGTGGACGAGGATGAGGATGACAGTGCCACGGCGTCGATTAGCAAAAATAATGGCGGCAGCAGCAGCAAGTGCAAGAACAACGGCCTGGGCAGGGAGGCAGCTGCTGCCGGAGCGGACGATGCCGAGTCCGCCGATGACAGCGGCAAGGGAGAGACCACATAATGCAGCCAGGCCGGAGTCGCATCATCTCTTCCTCCCACTCCTGCCCCACTTTTCATTTCTCCAACATTATTACTATGATTAATGCTAATTATAAACGTTTCAAAACTAAACCGAACAACTGAGAACACAATTATTTACCTCGTTTATGCGAGGGTAGTTGAAACCATGGTCCTAAGCTGATTTTACCTACTCAATTTTACTTAAGCTATTGGTAAAAATGGGCTAACTCAATTTCCAGCCTGTGGAAAGCAATTAATAGAGTTCAGGGACTTCTCCAAATCCTTTTTATGCAGCTAAATAAAAAAAGAAACAGATAAGAACAAAACAGATCATAAAACTCAACCAGAAACTGATTATCAATATACATGATATATACTGCATATGTACTAGGTATACATTAATATTTAATTAAAAATACACACATTTTTATGAACGAAAAACAAATGTCCCAATTCGAGACACGACATCCTATCGTACATACTGACACAGAGCATCAAGGTAAACAGCCGCATAACATACACATAACGAACAATCAATGGATTTCAAGAGTAAAAGCAAATACGGAACCTAGCAATTAAGCCATTTTTAAGTGCAAAATTGACAGAGTAAGTTAAAAACCCAACAATTGCAATATAGAAACGAAGAACCGCATTGTATAAACAGTAACATGATTGCAACAAAGATAAATAAGCCAAATAAAATTACTGAAAAAAACAGAATGGTCTTTTAACTTAGGTGAGGAACAAATCAAATTACTTCCGAGAAAATGTCCATTAAATGTAGAACCTCTCTTTCGATTTATTTGTATAATTTATTTGTTCGCCTTTGTCGATTAAATCATTTAAATTTGAGCCACGAGCTTCGCCCGTTTTCGCCAAGCCAGGAGCGCCGGCGTCAGATCCTTATCGGTTATAGCGGGCATTCGTATCAGCGAGCTGTAGACACCGATATCGGCCACCGACATCTGTGAGCCGCCGAAATACTGCTGCTGCTGCAGTCGCTTGTCCAACAGACGCACCATTGCCACCTGCGTTTTGTGCGTGTTGCAGCGCAGCAGTTGGTAGCAAATGTCCAGAACGAGATCGATCTCATTGCACAGGGGAGAGCCCTCGTAACGATATTCGGCAGGACCCACGCGACCCAGATACCTGATTATGTTCACCTCTCCGTAGATGGGCACGTACATGGTGGGTGAGCTGATCATTTCGGTGTGTTCGCCTGCGGAGAGATCAAAGTATTGCATAATAATTATCATTTTAATGGAGGAAGGTCAAACATTCAATAGAAAATTAGCAAATTTATTTTGAAGGTCAAATTTTAAACTTTTTTCCTTTTTTCTTTCCAAAACAATAAAAATTAATATTAACTGCAAAAAAATTTTCAAAATATTTTTCCCTGCATTTTTTATGATTTTTTGAAAATAGCTAGAAATGACAATTTTAGCTGCTTATTTTACTGAGATCGTTCCATTCAAAAAATTATTAAAAATACAAGGAAAAATATTTTGAAATATTTATTTTTGCAGTTATTATTATTTTGATTGGGGAAAAACTTTGCATCAAAACATTTTTGTTTATAGGCCAGGGAAAAAAGTTTAAAATATGACTTTTACAAAATTTGCTCACTTTTCAAAGGGGTCTTAATGGGTTAAGAACATTTTTGTGTCATTTAAACGGAATTAAAGTGCTCTTTCTATAGGTGCCAAAAGTTTATATTAAAAGTTCAAAATGTGAGTACAGTTAACATTCAAATTTGTCAAAATAATTAAGCCGACTAGTGTACTTACAGTTCTTCCAGATAAGCGTCACACTAATCTTAGGCAGAGCCGGGTTTACTGGAACCTTGGCCAAGTTAGCTTCGAATTCCCGAGCTGCTGGTCCAATATCGGCCATCGTGGAGTGCGTAAAGGTCTTCACATCAATCGTGTACAGATCCCGCCAGGCGTTTTTCAAGGCCAACAAGGCGTAGGGTATGAAATTGGGATGACCATTGATGACAACATCTTGCAGGGGAACCTAATTAAATGAACATTTAATTTTGTTATATATATTTTGTTATTTTATAGCTGAGAAAAGATTTGACCATCTTGCATCATCATATTGATTTTACCAGGGACCGAAAATAATCATTACTTTTGATTTTTTGAACCTAAAAATCAATAATAGTCGGAAAACCAAATGGAATACACCATTTAGCTTGGAACGGCTGCAATCGCACTTTGAGTGATATTTTAAAGCGAAATAATTTCGCTCACAAAGTAATCATTATTTGTGATCGATATTTTTTTTATAATAATGATTTGCATAAATTCCTGATATATATTTATAAAACTCTTAAAAAATGACTATTTTTGAGTTTTTTGAATAGCGCTTATAATGACTGCGGTCCCTGGATTTTACATTTATTTACATTTACATAAAATTTCAGATCGTACCTCCTTTAAGCCACCATTCTGGAAGGCAGTTGTATGCTGGAAGGTCTTGCCACAAACTCCGAGACCGGCGCGGATCTGACCCAGCTGCGCCTTGAGATCCTCCAGCTGCTTGAGCACCTTCTCCTGGCGGGCAGCCACCGATGCCGTGTCGTCCTGGAATAAAAGGTAACATGTTTAGAGGACACACCATGACAATCCATTGGCCAAGGCCACAAGAACAGAGAGCAAGCAACGAAAAACGGAGCGTGGATGCATTAGACATATTTCTGGTTTCTTTTTGTTTCTTTGGTTAGTCGGTGGTTTATAAATAGAATTTCGTATTTTAGTTTTGGTGGTCTTAACCTTTAGCAGTTGCTGTATTTGTCGGCCTAAAGTGTCCAAATCAAGTGCACATGTGGCTGCGTTTCGGCTTGTTTTGCTTCTCCCGTTGGCCTCCGATTTCTGGCGAGGATCGCACTTGGGGGGAATGGAATGGATGTGGCGTTGTTGACATACGTTGTTTTTAAGCTGTCCTTGCGATCCCGACCAATTTTCTGACTGGCCTGGCAATTAACTTACGCATGATGATGTGGACGCGGATGAGGAGGAGCCACTGGCCAGGGAATCCGCCGCCAGGCTCACGTTCTTCAGAGGATACATGCAGGTGGGCAGCTTTATGTCGAATTGCGGCAGCAGGGTCTTAAGCTCGTACATTTCGCCGGCGAAATAGTTGGAAAATCACAATAAATTATGGAAACTAATAATCGCAAAATGTGCTTGCTAGAGATGGCCGTTCGTCACTAGGTATGCAACTTTGACTATCGACTCCCAGCTGTTCTCACCTTAAACTATCGTTTGACTATGGTGCAATACCGAACTGTTCCCGCTTTCAAAAATCCATAACGTATTTTGTTTTCCGCCTCTGTATTAAGAAAACAATTAGAAAATACATAATTAAAGTAAGTAATAAATAAGCTTGATTTTACTGCTCTTGTTACTTATATCTTAAAATATCGATCTGTTTCGCGAGGATTTTGATCAAAGTTTTCGAAAATTCATACCGTCCTAGCTCATAAAAGGTTTTTGAATTTTAAGTGCTACATTTAAAAGTAAATAAATTAAATTATACATTTTTAAAGTGTTTCAATTTATTTGAAAAAATTTTCGTTTTAAATAAAAATAAACGTTTTGAAACCCTAACATTTTTTATCAATCATACCAAAAATCTAAAACACAAAATTGACGATAATCTTCAAAGATTTAAGTCTTTTCTCTGAGAGCTAGGCCTTAAAACATCAAATTTATTTTGGTCTCGTTGCCTCAATTTAAGTCTCAATATTTAGAATTAAGAAAAGTAAAATAAGTACCAACTACCCCGTCATAAGACTTAAGTCTTTAAAAAAATACTCTTTTGAAAACGTTATCGTACGGCAATTCTCCTGGGATTAGTTATTTAAGTGCCCCAAACATTTGTTCCCCATGAGTAATTCATGTTCAGAAACGCTCTCTTCTCTTCAATATGTTTCGGTACCAGATTTATAAATTCTACATTTATTCCACTGATAAGTCAGTGTTTTTTGGACCGCCGACAACGTCGGTTGTAGATCCTTTCGCGTTTAATTTGTTTATATTAACGCATTTACAACTTCATTTCGTTATAATAAAAGTGGTTTACGGAATAACAACAAATTTTTGAAAATAGTGAACAGAGGGCTTAAAAAAATTAAATTCTTTTTTCTTTAAGATGGGAAAAGTTAACAGTGAGTTCATTGAAAATTCCCGGTTTGGGATACGTAAATATTTTTTGTTTTTAAATTTCCCAGAATATAAGCCAAAAGAGGAAAAACCCGTAGATCCTACGCCTCCACAAGGCAAGTACATGAGATTTATAAGTACATATTAACAATCATTTATCCATGAAGGTAAAATGAAACAAATTTTTTTATTTTATGTGACTAAGCTTTTGGGGTTGAGCTGAGGGGCAGATGGAAAAAATTATATATTTTGTGAGCCAACATTATTTTTCTTATCAGCTAATAATGGTTCTCTGTGGACATATTAACAGCACATTTCAACATACGAGTATTGTAATCAGCAATCTGTGCTGTTGATTAATAAACATCAATAAAATGTAAATAAATAATGAAATTAGAAATTTTTGTTTGTTCTTGAAATATTGAGTTGCTCTCGTGGAAATATATCCATTTAATACATTATGCATTATTAGCTGATTGGGTCGCTTGGATAAATTGTGTAGTTAATAAATTGGTTACAAATATTATCAAGTTTTTGGTTTATTAAAGTTTTATTAATCTTTAAAATTGTTTATAATTTTTAAAATTAGAGACAAAAAACTATCATTCAAGTTGTGTATTATTGTAAAAATGTAAATTTAAGTGTAATATTTGTTGGCCAATACATATTTTAAAATAATTAAAGTAGCTCTGCGCATTTTAAAGCAACTATTAAGATAGTGCTGTGTATTCTAAAGTTTTAATTTAATTACAGTTGCTGGCAGTTCAACCACCCTCTCCGGCTCTTCCGGGGCATCTTCCGGAAGTTCTTACGGAGGGCACGGAATCAGTACCAAGCGAGGAACCATAGGTGAAACCGGTCAAGTAGCCGTTAATTACCTAAATGTGGACATGACGAAAATGCCGAAAAAAGCTTACCACTATGATGTCAAGATCCTGCCAGAGCGCCCAAAGAAGTTCTTCAGAGCGGCATTCGAGCAGTTCCGTGTGAATCAATTGGGCGGTGCCATTGCCGCCTTTGATGGTAGAGCATCCTGCTATTCGGTGGACAAGCTGAAGACGGACTCCAAGGACTCGGAAGTCTCTGTAAGAAGGGAGAAATGGGTTCGGTATAATATTTAAAATTAAAAGAATCTATAAATATTTTCATAACTTTGCTTCGAATCAATACGATTTTATACGATTAGTAATTTTTTTTTTGGTCCATGTGAGGTAATTGATTTACTTTAATGTAGAGAAAAGTTTTTAGAACCATTTTTAAAACCTTTTAGATTTTACAGATTTAAAACAAATTTAAGCTACTAACAATATTTTATTGTAAACCTGGTTTCTGCTTTTGTTTTTTAGGTTACTGATGGTCAAGGACGTGTTTTGACCTACATGGTGGAAATCAAGGAGACTGGGGACTTGGAAGTGGATCTTAACTCGTTGAACAAGTAATAGGCAGAGAATTGTAATGAATCCATATAATTTCAAGCTATAACTTTGCAGCTACATGACGACGAGGATCTTCGACAAGCCCATGCGAGCGATGCAATGTCTGGAGGTGGTGATGGCTGCCCCCTGCCACAATAAGGCAGTTCGGGCAGGTCGGTCTTTCTTCAAGACCTCCAAACCTGGTGAGCGCCAGGAATTGGAGGGTGGCTACGAGGCTCTGGTCGGTCTATATCAGGCCGTGGTATTGGGAGATCGTCCCTTTCTCAATGTCGACATTTCGCACAAATCTTTTCCAATCGCCATGCCTGTGATCGAATATCTAGAGCGGTTTGGTATTAAGACGAAAATAAACGCTATTACCAGTCTGGAAACCTCCAGGCGTTCGATTGAGTCGTTCCTCAAAGGTCTCGATGTGATTTACACAGCACCCAAATCTTTTGCCACCGCTCCAAGGATATACAAAGTAAATGGACTTTCTCGAAGCCCGGCCACCACCCAGACCTTCGAGTACGAGGGCAAAACCACCACCGTGGTCGAGTATTTCCAGAGTCGCAACTTCAAGTTGCTGTATCCCCAACTTCATTGCCTGCACGTTGGATCCCTAACCAAGCAAATATTTTTGCCCATCGAGCTTTGCCAAATCGACGGTGGTCAGGCATTAACTGTAAGTAGAATTTAATTCTCTTAAAAATCTTAGAGCTACAACTAAAAATAAAAAGATATTAAAACATTAGAGCTATAGCCTTGAACATTTTATCTAACTGACTATATCATTTCACGTTATTATATAATATTTATAATATTATACCAGAACGTAAATGGTTTACATTATTCTTAGGGCCGTTTTCTCGTCCGTTTGCTAAATTTAAAGTAGGGTTAAAACTCTGATTTCCCATAAGATTACAAGCATGTCGCCGTATAATCGATATGGCCATGTAAATTTCAGGTCATGCAAAACCCAGATCGTTTTTACATGAAATACCCTTTTCGACCACGTTAAATTTACCTGGCCTCATATCAAATTAAAATTTATCTTAAATAAGGTAAAATTCACCCACGTTTCATATCGATTTTTTTTTGGGTGTACATTGCTAAAACAGTAGGTATTAAAAATTAGCAATCCGAACAGATTTAAGATTTATCTATGAGAATTTTAATACAATAATACAAATTAAAACTTATCCGAATTTTAAATAGTATTTGTATTATTTTTTAAAATATTTTAATATCTTTTATTTTGGTTTTCAGCGCAAAGATGGAGCTACTCAGGTGGCCAACATGATCAAGTTTGCGGCTACATCGACGAACGCGCGAAAGGCCAAGATCACGAACCTCCTAGAGTTCTTCCGGCACAACAACGACCCGACCATCAGCCGATTTGGTATCAAGATCACTGCCGACTTCATGGTGGTGGGCACCCGCACCCTCCGAGCACCAGAGGTGGAGTACCAGGGCAAAAGAACGTGCCGTCCAAGAAACGGATCGTGGCGCATGGACAACATGATGTTCCTGGAGCCGAAGCCCAAGGCCCACAAGTGGGCGATCGTGTACCATGATCCAGTGCAGGGTCGCAAGATGCCCTACAACCAGGTGAGCGACTTCGAAAAACAGGTGTTAGCCCAAAGCAAGTCGGTGAACATAAAATTGGAGGCCAAGGCGGAGATAAGAACCTTCAAGGATGACTGCTCCCTGGACAAGTGTTTCGGGGATCTGAAGAGCAAGGAATACGATCTGGCCTTTGTGATCATCCCCAATTCCGGAGCTTCCTACGACGTCATCAAGCAGAAGGCCGAGCTGCAGCACGGCATTTTGACGCAGTGCATCAAGCAGTTTACCGTCGAGCGAAAGCTCAATCCGCAGACCATCGGTAATGTTCTACTCAAGGTGAACTCCAAGTTGAATGGCATCAATCACAGACTCAAAGATGAACCACGGATCAAGAACGCCATGTTCCTGGGCGCCGACGTGACCCATCCGTCTCCAGATCAACGCGAGATTCCCAGTGTGGTGGGCGTGGCAGCCTCACACGATCCCTACGGAGCCGCCTACAACATGCAATATCGGTTGCAGCGACCGGCTCTGGAGGAAATCGAGGACATGGAGTCCATCACAATGGAGCACCTGCGTGTTTATCGCCAGCATAGAAAGACCTACCCGGATCACATTCTCTACTTTCGTGACGGTGTGAGCGATGGCCAGTTTCCCAAGATCAAGAGCGAGGAGCTTAGAGGCATTAATGCAGCCTGTGCCAAGGTGAGATTGGATTTAATAGCTAGCTTAGAGGAAAACTAAACAAGAGAGAGCGCTATAGTCGGGTTTGTGTCCCGACTATCTAATACCCATCACTCAGCTAAAGGGAGTATATAACAATTTTTTGATTGCGCATAACTTTTTAACGAGTGGTCCGATTTGAAAAATTTCTTCTACATTCTGATAGGTGTTGATAAAGACCATAAAACTGCATTTATACTTTTCTGAAATCTTCAAAGGTGTATATTTAACGCCTTCTTCACCCTGTTACATACTTTTGCACGAATACAATAAACCCTTTTACTCTACGAGTAACGGGTATAATAAATGATTCTTAATTACTTGCCCATATCCAGATGGGTATCAAGCCCAAGATTTGCTGCGTGATCGTGGTGAAGCGTCATCACACTCGCTTCTTCCCCAGCGGGGAACCATCGCAGTACAACAAGTTTAACAACGTGGACCCCGGAACCGTGGTCGATCGCACCATCGTGCATCCCAACGAGATGCAGTTCTTCATGGTCAGCCACCAGTCCATCCAGGGCACGGCCAAGCCGACGCGCTACAATGTGATTGAGAACACTGGCAACTTGGACATCGATGTGTTGCAGCAGTTGACCTACAATCTGTGCCACATGTTCCCCCGTTGCAATCGCTCGGTTTCGTATCCAGCTCCAGCCTACTTGGCCCATTTGGTGGCGGCACGCGGTCGCGTTTACCTCACTGGGTAAGTCAACGTTTTCTCCTGCAACTTTCCGCATTTAATCCCTATTTTATGTCACAGCTCCTCTAGGTTCCTGGATTTGAAGACAGAGTACGAGAAGCGCAAGATTGTTCCCGAATTTATGAAGACAAACCCCATGTACTTTGTATAAGCTACAAAAAGGAGTCGTTAAATGTAGTCTAGATGTAATGGATTTTATTATTATCATTATTTATTGTTTTGGCTTAAATAATAATAATAATAAAATCCATTACATCTATATTATTGTTTTGGCTTAAATAATAATAATAATATAATCCATTACATCTAGACTTCATTTAAAGATTTTAAGCATGTCTAATGTTTTAAATCTTTAAAGCTAACGCGTTTCTCATTATACACATTTCAAAATTTTTGTAAAACCATGTTTCTTAACATCTCCATTTATCAAGAGTTCTTTTTAGAACACATTTAACATTTCTATTATTTTGTCTCCCATTTATTTGTAAATCTATTCCTAATTTTAAGCTATTTTGCCCTTGGGTGGAACTACCGGTATGCGTTTTATCCTCCTGTCCACAATGTGACGCAGACGCCGGTCCGGCTTGACCAGCTCGCTCTCCGTCATGGGCTCAATGACCTGGCCCTTGCGCGTAATGACCGCCGGACGGGTGAGCATCCGGAAGGCGGTCTCCGGCACAAAGTTCCGGCCAACTGGGGCGCGAATGCTGGCCTCGTAGTCGGCCAGGGATCGGAAGGGGAACGGGATGCTGGAGACCATATGCTCGCGCGCCTGCTTGCTGGCCGATTCGTTAAGGTAGAGGGCTTCCTTGTTGTCGTCCCGTCGCTTTTCCGGAGCGGCCAGCTTGAGAAGGAGTCGCTTGTTACGCCGCTCCATCACCGCCTGCGAAATACCCGCACCCGCCCAGGAACCCCAGCCGGGCAGGGCCAGCTGAATCTCTGTGTTCTTCAGCTCAGAGTCCTTGCTCTTGTCGCGGTTAAAATCAGCAATAATATCATCGTCCTCGAAGGCCTGACTAATGGTCAACTGGCGTTCGGTGGCCGCGTCTTCTTCATCGTATTCGGCCGCCTCATCGTCTATCAGAGCGTCATTGATGCCACCCGAGCTGGTTTTCTTTTGGGTAAACAGCAGAGTAGTCACCTTGTTTGGATCTATGGTGTCCACAGCTGGGGTCTCCTTTGCTTCTGGATTGTTCTCTAATTGCTCTGGGATTTTCTTCTGCGAATCCCCATCTTCCTCATAATTTAGGGGCTCGTCAACCTCAACCTTCTGATTAGTCTTCTTTAAGGCCAGACCTTTCAGGTTCCGCAGGGCGTCCTTCTTTTTCGCCTTCTTTCCTTTGACGGGGACTTCTTTAGGTTTATTCACCTGTTCCTTTAACTTTTCCATTTTCTTGCTTAGCTTGGCTCTCACTTGGTCTTCGTGCTTCTCGAAAATATCATCAATGGACTTTGAGTTAGATTTTCCTTTTGGTTTTTTAGTTTCTTTTGGCTCAACTTCTTCTACTTGCCAGCCATTCTCAGTTTTAACTTTTGATTTTTTAGTACTTTTCTTGGCAGGTTTGGCTGATGGCTCTGGTGTAGTTTCATCCGCCTGCTCCTCATCATCCTGCACGTCCTCTTCCAAATCCCTACGATGCTCTTCTAGTAGCTTTTCATTTCGATTCCGCTTCGTCCAATATTGTCGCCAATTGGCATCCTCACTTTCGCCTTGGCCGTTCTCAGCATTTTCCACAGTTTTTCGTTTTGTCCAAGGATTGAAAGGATCGTAGTCATTATCGTCCTCCACGGGAGCTACTCTTTTCCTGCTAATTTCCTCCTCGCTGTCGGATTCCTGCTTTTTCTGGGTCAGCTCCCTGCTAACAGCCAACTGCTCGGCCAGATCCTTTCGCACATCCTTGTCGTATTTGGCACGAACCTGCAGATTCTTGGCCCACGTGCCAGTGTTTTTGTGCCGCAGGCTGGCACGCTCCTGCACTCGACTTTTTTCCAGCGCATTGAGCTTCTCCAGCGCCGCCTCCGGGTTGGTTTTCTGCAGCAGCTCGAACTCCTTCATCTGCTCCAAGATCTTCTGGCGCTTCTGCAGCTTGTGGAACTTTTTGGATTTGATCTTATTTTGCATGCGGGCCTTGGCCGATTTCTGGGACTCGCGCATCTTCAGGTAGGCCAACTCCTTGCGACGGGCGAAGAGCTCATCCCGCGTGAGTTTCTTTTGGTGGAGCAGGCGCTCCTGTTTGGCCAGCTCCTTCTCGTCCGTGGTGTCGCCAATTTGCGCCTTGCGCAGCTCACGTAGCTTACGGTTGCTGGCCTCGAGTTCCTTGGCCAGATTCGATTTAATCCGTGTGTTCAGGGGACGCGCACTCGCCGAGGTGTTTACGTAAATCGTCTCCGAGGGTAAGGGAAAGATCTAAAGGGAGATTATTGGGTCAGATAAAAGGAGGGAGATACTTAATCAATATGGACTCACCTGCGTCTCTGCCGAGCGCTGTTGGGCCACCACAGCATCCCAGCGGCCCAGCTTCTTGGACACTCCCTCGTAGCCAATGGTCCGCTTGATGCGATCCGCTGCCGGCTTCTCTAGTGGCTTCTCCAGCACCTTCTTGCTGCCCTGGACGTTCTTGAGCTTCTTGCCCGTCTGGCTGTGCTTCGTAGAGGTGCGCAGGATGTCCACCAGGTCATTGAGACCCACCGCCCGGGGTGCACGCTCCGAATCCGCCGACGACACGCTCTTCACCAGCTGGAACTCATCCTGACGCGACTGGCGCTCGTCACGGGTGGACTTCTGGATGTGCTGCACCTTGCCCAGACTGCCGATGGCCTGCAGCAGCTTCTTGTGCGCCCTTGGCTCGTAGTGCTCCTCGTCGTCACTCATTTTAGATGCGGAAATTTGCCCAAATAAAATAACAATAAAGAATATTCACGGCGCACGTGTGCAGAGCAACAGCTGAAGTGTTATCGATAACAGTGGAGGTTAATCGCTATCTCGAGCACTGCGTGAGGGCATGGGCGTAGAAAGGGGGTTGAATATTAAAATATTAGTACTTTGAAATAAAATATTAAATTATTTAAATCTTTTTATAAAAAAAATGCACTAAAACTAAATGAAGATAAAAAAGATAAAAAAAAAAATTGATACCCTTTTTGCTACGCCCTTGCACTCAACTATCGATTGTCGACCGGCAAAAGACCGGCTATCGATGCCAATGTATTGAGATTGGATTCCTTTTGTTTACCATTTCGACATTGGAATCCGACATGGCCGACACGAAATCCGGTCCCGGTCGGTACTCGGCAGCCGGTGGCAGTGGAACCAGTGGCCTGTCGCCCTTGGTGCAGGGTCCTGCAAACCTAGAGTGCAAGGACTTCCAGGAGTATCTGCGCACCCGCCAAACGCCGGAGTCGCTGGAGAAGCTGTACAACTATCCGCCCATTTGCTTGGCTGTCTTCCGGGAGCTGCCCGAAATAGCCAGGCAGTTTATCATACGGATACTGTTCGTGGATCAGCCGGTGCCCCAAGCGGTGGTCTCGTCGTGGGGCGCCCAACGTTGTGCCAAGTAAGCGGACTTCAAGTTAATTTAGTGAATCCCCCGTAAACCATTGATCCTGCAGGGAGCAAACGGAGGCCACCAGCTGCCTGACGGCCCTGAATGTCTGGCGGGTTACGGCCATTCCCGGCGGCCTGTCCGCCTGGGAACTGTCGCCCACCTTCAAGAAGAGTGTGCGCCAGGTGCTGCTGGGCGGCGGAAAGCCCTGGCCCATGACCAACACGCTGGAGAAGGACTCGAAGCCCCGCGACATCGCCTTCCTCGACACCTACGCCATGTCGCGGTGGCGCTGCGTGCTGCACTACATGGTTGGCACCGGAAATCGCAATGGCACCGATGCGGAGGCCATCAGCCCGGATGCCGTGAGGATTCTGCTGCATGCCAATCTCATGAAGCGCGATGAACGCGATGGCATCACAATAACGCGACAGGGCTTTCAGTTCCTGCTGCTGGACACGCGAGCTCAGGTCTGGCACTTTATGCTCCAGTACCTGGACACCTGCGAGGAGCGGGGTATCAGCCTGCCGGAATGCCTATCCATGCTGTTCCAGCTCAGCTTTTCCACGCTGGGCAGGGACTACAGCTCGGAGGGAATGAATAGCCAGATGCTGACCTTCCTGCAGCACCTGCGTGAGTTTGGCCTGGTCTTCCAGCGAAAGCGCAAGGAGGGACGCTTCTATCCCACCCGTTTGGCTCTGAATGTGACCAGCAAGGAGGCGGCGGCGACCGCCTCGATGGCCATGGACGAGGAGGCGACCCAGGACTGCGGCTACATAGTGGTGGAGACGAATTACCGCGTGTATGCCTACACAGACTCACCGCTCCAGGTGGCCGTGCTGGGTCTGTTTACGGAGTTGCTCTACCGCTTTCCCAATCTCGTCGTGGGCGTGCTCACCCGGGATTCAGTGCGTCAGGCGCTGCGGGGCGGAATCACGGCAGAGCAGATTGTCTCGTATCTGGAACAGTATGCGCATCCCAACATGCGGCTGGTTGAGTCGGCCATTCAGTCCAAGTCCTGCCTGCCACCGACTGTCGTCGATCAAATTAAGCTGTGGGAACTGGAGCGAAATCGCTTCACCTACACGGAGGGCGTCGTCTACAATCAGTTCCTCTCCCAGACTGACTTCGTAACGCTGAGGGACTACGCTCAGTCGATCCACATGCTGGTGTGGCAGAATGAACGAACCCGCACCATGGTGGTCCAGAAGAATGGCCACGACGATGTCAAGCGTTACTGGAAGAAGTACTCGAAGAGTGGTGTTTAACCTGGGAAGTCTACTCAAGGGTCACATCTGTCTCCATTTCGTTTCTAAGCTAACATTTTAGTATATCGTTTAATAAGTGAGTGGGAGATATAGCATCGACATATAACGTACAAGATTAATACAATTAAAGTACACAATATACAAGAAGTAATTACACACAAAACCACTTTAAAGCTTGACCTTAGATTGTACTTTAGGGTGGGTCGACTTGGAAGATTGCCAAACAAATAATAGATGTCAAGTAACTTTGAAAAATTAAAATATTTAGCATAATCTCAATTGATTTTTAATTGGGAGAATTTAAGGACCTAATTGAAAAATCTGTATAAAAACTTATGAACTACTTTTTAATGCAATTGTCACTTGCCCGAATATCTTTTTGTGTTATCAAAAAATACATTTTATATTAGACCGAATGTTTGGACAAATTAAAAAAGAAATCGACCCACCCTAGGCTATCTAAATGCAAATGGAAAAGGACCGAAACTTAATACAAAATCGGCCGCTGCGGCATACAGAGGTTATAGTAGCTGCCCTTTGTCCAGAAGTCCATGCCCTTCCAGCCGCACCAGCCTTTGATTTGAATCGTGGCCAGTTCGTCGGCACCTGTGTAATGTGGATCCAGGATAAGGAACTTCACCTGACCCGTCTGCACGCAGTAGTCCACTCCGATGATGGTGTGGGCCAGCACGCCGCCGCCAATCATCACGGGGGTTCCTTGCGTCTGGAAGTGCATGGCCAGTTCGGAGGCTACAGTGGCCAGCTCTGCTCCCGAGGCCACATGTAGAATCTTAGAGTCCACGTTGAGGAATCCCTGCAGGCACATGCTGATCTCCGTGGAACCGATCCACTGCGAGGATCCCACAAAGGCAGCCGGCTTGTCGTTGATCTTGTGCAGATACTCCTGCACCTCCAAGTGCGTGGGAATCGGGGCGTTCGTATAGCCCTGCAGCACGAACCACGAGCAGATCGTCTGCAGCGAGCGGTAGGCGCAGCCCCAGCCCTTATCCTGTACCTGCTGCTGCAGGTAGTGGTAGTAATGGTAGTTGCCGTTCACTAAGTACTCCTTGCCGTCGGCAACTCCACTGGGACGGACGCCAATGTGGGTGTTCAGCAGCGGAGTCCACGGGGCGTCCTCCGTTTCGCCCAGGAAATGCACCCGATTGGCTCGGCGGAAATAGGGACGACTGACGGGCAAGGCAAACTGTCGATGGAGTCGCTTGCGTCGCTCCTGCATATTCGGCTCATCGTCGCCCAGATCCTCCAGGTAGGCGCAGCTCACAAAGTGCCCGAACTCCTGGGGATAGAAGTGATAGCTAGCGGGCACCAGCAGCTTGCCGCTTTCCGATTCTGCGAGGTGCTCAATCAGACTCAACTCGAATAACCTCAGGGCACGGCAGATGCTCTCGATGAGGACGTCGTAGAGCCGCTGAAGCTTGGTCTTCCTGCACAGAATGGCCATGGCTTCTATCTCCAATGGAACCTGGACGCGGGTCTGTTCCTCGGTGGTTACGGCAATGCTGAGCGCCGGATGGGGCGGCGAATCCCGGGCTACGGGGTCACGACTGCGCGATCGCAGCACATCGATGGGAATCACCTCATAGTCGCAGCCCGTGGGCGCCAATCTCTTGACCGCCGGCGTGTTCAGCGCCTTGGCCTTCTTCTTGTCTCCAGCGGCCGTTTCCTTTTCGTTTCCTGGACTGGGGATGACGTCGATAAGATCCTGAATCTGAGAATCACCGGTGAACTGTTTGTCCAGCGGCCCACAGCTGTTGATGAAGATCTTCGTCTGCGGCACATTGAACACCAGATTGCCGTCGGCAACCCGCTTGCGCAGCACATGCATTTCCCTCGCCACGGATTCCGGAGTGGCGGCCGTTTGCAGGAAGAATCCGCACTGCAGCCGCGTGAAGCAGAAGTCGTTGTACAGCTGCTCCGCCTCCATCACCTCGTAGGGCACCTCCTCCAGCTTGCCGTGGACAAAGAACGAGGCTCGCAGACCCACCAGGGTGCCCAGCTCGCATTGCAGCAGTATGGGATTGTCGGTGATGTCCACCGATTTGATGACCTCATTAAGGTGCGCCTCGCCATCGCTGCAATCGCCGAACTTGACCAGTCCGCAGAGATCCAGTTCCGCGGGGAATCTGTGCTGGATCTGCTCGTAGTTCAGCTGCCCCAAACTGGACTCAATGTTGAAGCTGAGCAGGAGTAGGGTTCCCTCTCCGTAGAAAACTCCGTATAAACAACCACTGCACTGTTGCTTTGTTCGCTCCAGGCGCTGCAATCAGAGGTTCCAGGTTTACTAAATATCGTTAATTGCGCTAATAAAAGGCTTACTTTTAGCAGGAAAGCGGATATTTTCAGTTTCGGCAGCATATTTGCGTTAAATATAGTATGGAAAATGAAGTAATTCGGCCACAAGTGCAATTATTGCACAGCTGGCAAAATGCTATCGATAACAGCGTCTTTACGGCCCTAGACCTATCGACATGGGCTTAGAAAAGGGGGATTTTGAGTTGGGGAGAAAGAAACATAAAGTTTAGAATTAAACAAGAGAGAACGCTATAGTCGGCTGCCCCGACTATTAGATACCCGTTACTCAGCTTAAGGGAGTGCGAAGGAGATAAAAACTTTGATCTGCCGTAACTTTTTAACGAATGGTCTGATTTACAAAATTTCTTCTACATTTCGATAGGTATTCATAAACATAATAAAACAGCATTTTTACTTTTCCGAAATATTGAACTTTTTAAAATCGTATACAAGTGATTGTGGGCGTTAGAGGGGGCGTAGCACCCTTTTCAAACAAACTTGCGCTGCGTAGGAACTCTTAGAATCTGCATGCAAAATGTCAATCTTCTAGCTTTTATAGTTTCCGAGATCTCAGCATTCATACAGACAGACAGACGGACATGGCTAGATCGACTCGGCTAGTGATCCTGATCAAGAATATATATAGTTTATAGGGTCGGAAACGCTTCCTTCTACCTGTTACATACTTTTGCACGAATCTATAATAATAAAATATAATAAAATTGGAATAATCTTAAAAACCATTTACCACTAAAAAATTAAATCGAACTTAACATGTAAATAGAATATTTCATCCTAGAAAAGATAATAAGTTATTCAGAAGG